TCCAGCGCTGGTGCCGGTCTCTGATCCAGCGCAGACTCCTTGTGTTCCACAGAATCTGTCTGGTGTGCGCGCTCCCGGCTGCCTGGCTCTCCCCTCCGTTGATCTGGATTGCGCATGCACCCGCCCACACTTCCTCCTCCACATCGTCCGGGAGGAGGGACTTCTGCCGTCGGGAGCAAGTGGCGCTGACACAGATAGGTTTGTTGGTATTTGCCAACTTTTTTTTTTCTATGTTGGGACATATATGTACTGCTTACTAGTAGTACATATATGCCAACAAAGGGACTTTATTGCTACTTTAAGCTTTGTGAATGGAGACCTTTGTCTTTATATATTTATATTAATGTAGTAGACACCAGCACTCAGGCTAGGAAAGCAATTGCCTATAGTATCAGACTCTATTGCATTGTGAGAGAGCTTCTAACCTGCACCTGACTTCCTCCTAAGCTGCTTCAATCCTACTTTGCTTCTTCTATTGTGAGAAAAGCAGTTTGGATGAAAATTAAAGCCTGTGCACAAATGCTCTTCACACTTATCTATTGAATGCAAAAGAACAGAGAAAACCTTATCGGTGGTCTGCTGCTCCTTCGCTGCCTTTTCTAGCAAGGAGGCGACAACAGTTTGTAATAAAGTAGGATTGCTCTCCTGCCTGTGCATGAATATGTAAATTAACATGCCAAAATGTCATCTGTCCGGCCATTAAAGAGTTTAAATATGCTCTTCCTCTGTGTGTTATAAGCTGAAAACCATCAAAAAGTGTAACATACAATAGTCTAGACAAGCTTAAACATTTTACAGGATCGGATTCAACACTGGATAACATAACCTCTTTTAAACCAATGTTTCAACATCTAATAACATAACCTCTTTTAAACCAATGTTTTAAGTTACATTTCTTGTGTCGTACTGAATATGAAAAACAGACAGATCATGTTATAGACCACTTTTAAAGTAGAAATAATGCCTCCATTCATGTTCCTGCTGTCATGTAAGAAGCATTGGAATGTTACAGGACTTGGTGCCATCTATTTTATGACCCAGTAGAAGAAGTTTAAATGATGTCAGAGGTACAAAACAATGCACTGTCTAAACTCTACAGATAATAATTGTAAAAAGGGACGTGCACACCGATTTTAAAATGACATTTTAACCCCTTATAATAAAAGGTAAAACAAAAGGCATTTAAAGATTTACAGTTAGTTTTCGTTATAAAATATCCAAGCCTGAGTAGAAAATCATGCTCTCTGTGGAGAAGCAAAGCTATTTCTCCCTGCTGATCGGAGAGCTCTGGATCCAATTAGGCAGGCGGTTTTGGACCTCTGCAGAGAGGCCACTGCTTCCCCAACAGAAAACAAGAATTACACTCTGCCTCATTCAGGCAGGCGTCAGGTTGTAGCAGTTTTAGAAAGAAAAAAGGGTAAGACTGGAATGTTTAGCCAATTTAAACTGAAAGTTCATTTGGGCTTCAAAAGTCACTGACATTTGCACTAGTGACATTTTTTCTATAAGCATTTCATTTTGTGGGGTCTGATGTCTGCAAGAAACCTAAGTCGTGGGAGACAATTTGACGTAAAAACAATGTTTATGTCTTGGAAAAGTCATAGTCCAGACCTCAAATAGATCTTTTGCCGATAGACGTAAAAAAACGCTATTTGCCCACCTTCCCAATGCAACCTGACAGAGCGCATTGTTCTGCAAATAACAGGACATATACAGACTATTTCTACAGCAAACAGGGGAGCATAAGGAGTTACGCGAAAAAACTTCTGATATATAATATAATATAATACACCAAACTCCAGGGTTTCGACAAAACTTATAAAGAATCGGAGTATCCCCTAATTTAAGAAATCCCTTTCTCGGAGCTGGTTTAGTAAACAGGTATAACATGTAAATTAAATCAAAAAATTAATTTAATTGTAAAGAAACGAATATAAACAACAAATACATCCATAACAAGACATTAAAATCAATTAAAAAACTTCCCTTGAACAGACAGTAGTTAATGGTGACACGAAGGATCTACAAGCCAGCTGGTGTAGCAAAGACCTGATTAACGCAGATACATGCACTGTATTTCATATACGGATACAGAGTATCCAAAATTACTCACAGCTCATACGGTTTAGGGAGAGACAGTCCTGCTCGGATCCCTCAGTGCTAGATGGTTGAATAGTGCTTCACTTCAAAAGAGTGTGTCCTGTAGCTGTGGTTTAGGATTCAGAGAGAGGGGTGTGTTGGTAGGGCTGAAACGATGTAAGCGCCCTGCCCTTTCCCCTTGCTAGGGACTCTCACTGACCCGCAAACTTCGATTTAGATTGCAGAAAAAATATGTGCGGCCGCACAATACAACAGCAGACAGCAACAACGGTAGAAGTGGGGGTCTCCACGGTGAGAGATTCCAGGTACACTTGAAGATCCGCAGAAAGTGCAGTTACCGCAAACGGTCATCAGATCTGTTCAATCAAGCTCTGCTGGAAGGTTCCAAGTCAGCTGGGCTCGCACCAAATGGAACCGGCTGTGCTCCGTCTCCACACTTTTAAAACCAGCCGGGATATGCATCTACCAGGACTGGTGTGTGGGATGAGTAATTTCGAGTGTCCAGGGAAGTGATAGACACACGTAACCCTGACGCGTTTCCTCCCACAAGGGGACTTCCTCAGAGGGGCGTGTGCTGTTAGCTCTTGCAAGGATGTATTTAAATAGCTGGTTAATGAGGCTGATAGGCTGCCGGATATCACACAATCAGCGAGCCATATCGTTTCTCAAAAAATACGAATGATGTTGCACATATTTTGATATACTACAGTGGCACCTGTGGAGCCTTAAGTAAGTAAATAAAATCCTAGATCCCTTTACCCACATCCAGTCACAAGTACAGCTATACTTTAACTGATTTATGATAATAGAAAAATGGCCTTTAGACATCATATAACATCATATACAAAACATCATATAAACCTATACGGGCTAGAAGGAGGCTCCTGATGTGAAAAAGGATCGAGTTTCGACGGGCTACTCATGGGATAGATGGTAGTAAGTAATTACTGCTGTTATAACTTGAGTCAACACATGTGTTTCAAAGTCATATAAAGAAAACATACAGGTAAGGAAAAGTAGGGAGCACCAAATAACCCAAACTGAGGGTTCAACCCCTAAAAAACCAGAAGAAAATGTATCATCAGTCCAGACTCGACTACAAATGACATCAGGAGTCCCCTATATAGTCCAAAAGTTTGCGGGTCAGTGAGAGTCCCTAGCAAGGGGAAAGGGCAGGGCGCTTACATCGTTTCAGCCCTACCAACACACCCCTCTCTCTGAATCCTAAACCACAGCTACAGGACACACTCTTTTGAAGTGAAGCACTATTCAACCATCTAGCGCTGAGGGATCCGAGCAGGACTGTCTCTCCTTAAACCGTATGAGCTGTGAGTAATTTTGGATACTCTGTATCCGTATATGAAATACAGTGCATGTATCTGCGTTAATCAGGTCTTTGCAACACCAGCTGGCTTGTAGATCCTTCGTGTCACCATTAACTACTGTCTGTTCAAGGGAAGTTTTTTAATTGATTTTAATGTCTTGTTATGGATGTATTTGTTGTTTATATTCGTTTCTTTACAATTAAATGAATTTTTTGATTTAATTTACATGTTATACCTGTTTATTAAACCAGCTCCGAGAAAGGGATTTCTTAAATTAGGGGATACTCCGATTCTTTATAAACATATACAGATTAACAACACAGACTCAAAGCTGTACTTACTGCCAAAGGTGCATCTATTAAATATTGAGTGTATACTTCTGCAGTTATTTTGTGTTTTTTTTCCCCTCATTATATTTTAATCCCTCTGCAGAGATTTTTTTTTTTCTTTAACAGAAACGGTGTATAATACAGCTGTGATATGACTTAGTTACATATAAAGGTGAAGTCTTAAATACAGCATGTTTGTGTTGCATAATATTACATTTAAGCACACAAAATTCTATGTGGGACATTTACAGACATCCCAACCTGCAAAACCTTATTTCAGGGAGGTTCCCGTCTCATTTCAGGGAGGTGCCCTTTCTGTTTGTTGGTTTTTTTTTTTACAGCGGCCATCGTCAGAATATAAAAGAAATAATAATGATAATATAATAATTATATATATACACACACACATACATACATACATACACACAGAGTAAAATAAAATCCATATACCACCAGGACATATAATTAATTCTATATTATCCACAAAGGGTTAACGGCACTCTCTTAACCCTGCAGCAGTGCCTGTACCTGCTCTCAATAGTAGTCTATGTCCGCCCTCTCTGTGCAGCAAGTAGCTTCTTCCTTCCTAGAGCCAAACCTCGTTCTGAGGCTACTCTAGAGATCACATGACCTTCCTCCAGGAGGCAAGCCTCACTCTGAAACTTTACCCCCTGATGTCTTACCGGAAAGGTTTACTCAGAGTAAACCTTTCAGGGAGAAAATGCCTCTCTCGCGGACATCAGGGAGCTGCTGTCCAAAAGAGGGAGACTCCCTGAACATCAGGGAGACTTGAGATCCCTGCATTTATAAATCCTCATTAGACTGAACAGACAGCAGAGCAACATTCCGATGAATATTTAGAAAAATCCATTTGAAGAACTATAGGCTATATATAACACACTGTATTATATATAGCCTATATAAATGGGCTAGTTTATAGTCTGTGCCAAGTTTTACAATTATCCCCTAGTGCCCTTGCATTGCTCACACAGCCTTGAATAGAATTTGTGTAAAATAAACAGGATATGATTAAAAAAAACAACATGATATGGTTCATGTGCAAACAGAGTCCTGTACTGGAGAACCCTTTGCTGTAAATACATGATTGCTTGCAGGTACTTTTTTTAAAAATCATTTGTCATGTGCAAACAGTGTTATCAGACCACTTTATCATCGCCAGTCCTTGAGCTGTATTATTAGGTTGCTAGGAGTGTTATATAATACCACTTATAATAAAACAACTTACCTTGTCTGGAAATCAGTGGCTGCTCTCATAGATACATGAGGACTGTGCTCATGAGACATCATTCCTTTTGTAGTCCAGATTTCAGGAAGGCATTGACTTATAGTCTCAATTTCCTGGAGAAAAAAAAAGAAAGCATTCCAGTTACGACAAGGACAGGGACACAGTGATATAAGTGGAGTGAAGTAAATGACAGGTTAGCAGCTTTTGAAATAATAAAAAAAAAAGGATAAAAAAGTTATAATAATCCTCTCCAGAAAACAGCTCAAATGACAATCTGGAAACTGAAAGAAGAACACCTGAGTAATCAATGGATAATAAATGAGAACTCTGCTAACTCTAATAAAAAGAAGGGGTAAAAAACAACACACACAAACACGTTTGTACAGACAGAATGACACCAGACCACTGCCATCCATAATCAGCAGAATGCTGTGTGCTAGGCCTTTATGCAGGGTTTTAACAATCGGCTTTGAGTCAGGTGTAGCTCCAGACTTCTCTCTAAAACAGACCTGTCTCATCTTCACCGCAAATAATTAGATTCTGAAATTATACAGTCCCATTTCAATTAAAAATAATGATAAGCTAAGTTTCAAGCATTATCATTTTACTTATGCGCCTCAAAATGTTCTGTGTAAATAGAAATGAATGTGACATAAAACTGGATGGTAGTTTTGATCATTTTGACTTGGTTTGGTTTATTTTTCATTTTATTGAATGCATTGAACTTTTTGTTGATAAATTATGCATTATTGATTTAAGGGAATTGCAAAAAAAGATTCCTCACAGATTTGGCACTTTTAAATTAGGTTTAGCGCTGTGCATTATTCCCTTTATATAATGTTTGACTTACCTGTAAAATAGTTTTCCGGAAGTACAGTACAGGACACAGGATCAGTCTTAAGGCGATTGGACACTTGCAAAAAAAGCTGCAATGGCAGCTTTAATATAGTATAACCCCTCCCACTCCCAGCAAGCCTCCATTTTGTGGCAAGCAATAAGGAAAGTATAAAGAACAGAAGCGAGGGACCTGTGTCCTGTACTAAAAAAAAACAAACCATAAAACAAAATATATAGGGCTGAAATTGGGCACTTGATGGTGCTCAAGACCAGATACTGATCCAGACCAGTCTGGAGAAAAGACGGGATACTCTCCACTGAGTATTCGTTATGACGGAACGTCCTAGCTTTACAAACTAAGCCTTCCAGGTGTGAAGGTAAACCCTGTGAGAAGTTGAGTTTCTAGCTTTCAGGAGCATTGAGATAAGATATCCCATTGGCTCTGTCCCTCAGGATCTGGGCTTCAACAGCCAAGCCATTAAAGCCAGCAACTGAGAAGCAGAGTGGCTGGACTGATCCACAGGACAGAAGGTTTGGATGGTCTGGAAGAGTCCCCAGAGTGTCATTCTGACTACCACAATCTCCTGGGCAAGTGCGGGGCAACGAGGGTCAACAGAATGCCCTTCCATCTTGATCTTGCAGAGCAGATGAGAGAAAAGCTTTGGAGTTGGAAAGGCTTAGCGCTATCACCAGAAAACTTACTGCAAAGGCCTGTGGATCCCTGGACCTGGTGACAAACCTGTCCAGTTTGTTGTTAAACCTGCACACCAGTAGGTCCACCATCTGTGACAGAGTGCCAGGAACACCTTCGGGTGGAGAGACCACTCCCCCAGATCCAGACATTGACAGCTAAGGAAACTGAATTTCCAATACATTGTCCGACTGGATTCTGATCAGGTGACCTAGAAGAGGAGAGGTCCAATGTAAAAGGGACAACTGCATCGCCATGAACTCCCAGATGTTGATGGGAAGCCTAGCTCCAATCAGTGACCAAGCCCTTGGAACCAAGAGGGTATCCAGGACTCCTCTCTAATCTCACAGGCTGGCATCTGTAGTGAGACCATGACACAACATAGGGAGAAAGTACTTGCCCGACTCCAGCACTGGTTTGGAAACCCACCATATCAGAGAGCCTCACTGAGCTGGGTTAGGAGCATGAGGCGATCCACAGAGTCTGTGTCCCACACAACCAGAATATTGAAAGTAAACATACATACTATAAAGTTGTAGCACCAGTTGTTTTTAACAGGCCCCTCAATAAGGCTTCTCTCCTCCCAGCTCAGGAGATAAGTTGACAAGAAACATCAAGTGAGTTGTATGGATCAGCTTTTCAATCTTCCCTGATGTATTAAAAAAAAAAAAGGAAAAGAAACTCTCAAAAAAACAACAGCAAAAAAAACACTACACTTAATGCAAAAGATATCAAAAACTAGTATAAAGTTCTGTGTGAAAATATGTGTATATATATCTATATCTATAGATATATACCTATATATCTATAGATATACACATACATACATACACACATATATACACACACACACACACACACACACACACACACACACACAGCATTCACTCGCAAAGCAGTTTTTGTTAGTCCATCCATAACAGTTTGATTTCCTATTTTCTCTTAATTAACTGATTTTCCACTTCATAGTGGCAACACTGTATTGCAGTGAAATCTTGCAACAGCGATGTTACCTTCTGGACATGGTAGTCTTTGATGGACATGTAGTTTTGAATGGATATTAAGCAACAAACAAATCAAAAACTTCTGTTAACAGTTTCTAAGCAGTTAAAAAAAAGTTTTTCTTTAGGGTAAAAGGTTTAAATCACTTTAAAAGGAGAACTATGGGGTCAGTGTTTTTCCCCATAGTTCTCCTTAGGATAACGAGAGGACACAAACTAGCGTCCTCCCGTTACCCTAAGCTCAGTATACCGCGAGCTACAGCTCGCGGTATACCGAGACGCCGCAGCCGGAGCGGATCCCGACTTAGATGACGGGATTCGCCCAGCTGCGTGAGTGACCGCTGGCTCTGCCTACCTAGAGGCAGAGCCAGCTGTACCCGCCCCCTCCCCCGTCCGTTTCGCCAGTCAGCGCTGGCAGATCGGAGCGGGGAGAGAGGAATCCAGCCCCTCCCCCTGTCACGGCAGAGAGCCGTGACAGGATCGAGAGGCGAGCGAACCTTGTATGTGTTCGCTCACCTCCCGATCTACTGAGCCGACCTGTGACAGTCTCATTGTCACAGGTCGGCTAGAACTATGAGGTGAGTGGAAATCACTCATCTCATAGTTCTCCTTTAATAAAAAGTGACTGTTGTAAGCACCCTTGGCAGTGTTTTATAGTTTGCCCCAATTCCTGTAACTAACTTTTGTAGGACAGCTTGGTCTGCATTTGGAGAAAAATCTAAATAAAAAGGCATGTGAATATACTAAATACTATCATTATATGTATTAATCTGATATAATTACTACAATATTTTAGGATATTGCTCTTTGAAACTTTGCAAGCTCTACCATTGCTCTAGCCAATAAAAATGCTTTAATTATCATTCTCACCAGACAGAATAGCAAGGCTTCACCTTGGAGCCAGGGACACACACACACACATACAGCCTTCCCAGAAGAGTTGGGACACACACGCATACAGTATAATATCTCCAACCCTGTCTGAAGGTGGCCATATACAAATCAATTTGTGGTCAATGTAGGTATGAACAATTGCAAAGAAGCAATTCCTCATCAGTTAAAATACTGAATTATGTAACACATGGTACAGATAGATCATATTTCCGATCAGAAATGATTAATAAAAAAGATAATTCAATTGATATGTTTTACAACCATTTATTTGACACACAGGTATTAATTTGCTTAAATAGAACTAATAAGATTCTGCCACAGTCGATGGGATACAGTCAGGGCTTTCTCCTCATTGTACAAAAGTGTACATTAACATATAGCTAAAATGTTGTTTTTGTTTTGAAGAGTGTAGTGAGGGATCACAACCTGTCAAGTCTTTTTTTCTACTGTCCCCACTAGACCGTATCCCCTCTGTATTTGTCCTAGTGACCATTTGTAAAGACAGAAAGTGATGGGAAATACAAAATTCTACAGTTGTCCCAGAAGAAAAGGGAAAGTTATATTTTCCAATGGGGACGTTTGTTCCAGTCACAATGTTCAAGAGTGGAAATTCCCTCACTTTCTAGAGATTTCCTGTTGGGTATACTCCAGGACAGGAAGTTAAGGAAAATCTCCACAGTGGGGCACAGATATCAAAATAAACTGACGGGGTTATAATCCTTTAATACTGTATATAAAATTGTAAAAACGTTCTACAAACCAGTCAATAGGATTGTGCACATGTAAGGGAAAATGTTTCAGTAGCTGGATTTTCTCACCACCAAGCTGTGTCTATGGCTAGCCTTGGGATAGGCCACCTGTCCTTGAGCAAGTTGGTGAAGATACAGGAACTGTTGCAAATTCTCAACAGTGACAGCAAGGCATAAACAGCATTTTCCTCTTCTAATGAGAGGACTTGCCTGACCCCAGGCAAGTTTTTCTCACAGGAAAACCTCCCTGTGTGAGGGAGGCTTTTGAATGCTGTAGATGCTTGTTAAATCGCAAGCAATCCCTGAAATTGTAAACACTGATTTCTATTAATGGGGCAACCTATAGTTCCACTTAGAGTTTGGATTTTCCTATACACATCTGAACAATTATGTCTCTTTCTGTATGCTCTATTTTCCTAGTCTATAAACAAATGAGTAGTGTAACATATTTTCTTTTTACTCCTCTCTATAACCTTATCTAGCCACCATCACCTTCTGTGATGTGACTACTAGACATTTAGTGATAGCCAGAGCTGTAGTCAGCCTGGCTGGATTATAGTGGTAATAATTTGGTTAATTCCAGGTGTCTGGCATTGTCTGTACCCCCTGGGCGGAGTGTGACTCTGTCATATTGTGGAACAGCCAATGAGAGGCACTGTAGTGTATGTACAGTACAGCAGCCAATCACTGGGTTTCTTTTAACCAGTGGTGCATGCTGGGATAGGGTACATGTACTGGAGGCATTTGCCATGTGCTCAAACTAGCCGGGACCAGCCATGGATTAGACACTACATAGGCAATGATCACTATTAGCAAAATGCATCTTCTCTATCAGTAGATATGATATTCCAAAATATACCAAAATTGTTCATATGGTTACACTGAAAATGTATATTTGTAAAATCACTGCTTGGGTATGACTATTGAGTTTTAAATTATTG